CAATTCACAGACACTTACCTTCCTCCCCTCCCCCCCCCCGCATCCCCCTCCTGTTCTGCAATGTGATTTGTCCTTTTCATATTTGTTCATTTTTTTTAATTGTATCCTTTGGTATATATGGTTGTGACTACTTTCTTCCACTATTTGATCTGAGGAAGTGGGTCTGGCCCACGAAAGCTCATCATCTAATAAACCATCTTGTTAGTCTTTAAAGTGCTACATTGTCCTGCATTTTGCTTCAGCTACCCCAGACTAACACGGCTACATCTCTATCATTATTGGAATTAGTTCCTCAAAATTAAGGACAATTGTTGAATTTATGGTTACTTCTAAACCATGCAGATTATAGAGAAAAGACTATCAGGCCGTATAGATCTTACTTATTCGTGCCAAGATACTCTTGCTCCACTATACCTGTTTTTATTATCCTCTGTGGCTGACATGGTCTTTTTGTTCAAAGCCACTGGCTTAAAGGTTTTATAACTTTTCAAAATCACACTGTGGCAGAACCTTGATGCTTTTTCAGAGGGAGATGTTTGCTGGAAGCTGTAAGAAAATATACCTAACCACTATCTTGAGAACCAGACATTCAAATGAGCAGTTGACTTTCAACAAAATGTTTATTAAATGTTACACTTCAGTTGAAAAACCGTGCAAATATCTTTTAACACAACTTCAGAGTTGAGACTTCGACTGTGCAAAGTCAGGAAATTCTGAGTTGATGTTCTTTAAGTAACCTTAATGCTGCATCCATAGTCTTTCACAGCATGATTACACAACAGTGTGAAATGCCCTACTTTTCAGTAATACCTACTTTTGGTGTGATATGCATCAGAAAGGCTCATCCAGAAAGACTGTAAATGAGCTATAGTTGAATGCATATATACAATTATATATACAGATGCCCATATCTTTTAGTATTACAGCATGTGTCATGCTATTTGGCTGATGACTGAGAGTGCCAACCCCAGGCCAGACTCTCAAAAGCTGAGCAGATACCCGAAGCTGGTTGTATGGTCTATAATTAGATTTCACCAACACAGTTACAAAATGTGAACTCCCGAAGCACTATAATGGTTTTACCAAGGAGTCACAGTGTGCTTTCCAGACTGTAGCTGAACTAAGTAATAAACGGTCACATAACCCCCACGGGTTCTCAACTTTTTTCTTTCTGAGCCCCCGTGAAAACACTATAAACATTCCATGGCCCACGTATGTCAAAGTTGGTTTCCTGCATATAAAAGCCAGTGCTGCTGCTAACAAAGCAGTGTCACATTTGCACTTGCTATGGCCAAACTTTATCGTGTGTGTGTGTGTGTGTGTGTGTGTGTGTGTGTGAGTGAGAGAGAGAAGCATCTGTGAATGACAAAAGTTTTGTCTATCAAGTGTAAGTATACACGAAGCCTTACCTACTACTTTATAGCATGGGATATGCATGTAACAACTTACATTTAATAGAATCAAAACATATCCTTACCATGTCAACATGTATCTTGAACAACACTAACATCCAGGTAAGCTGGCCTAGTTCCGAGCTATAAATTTGTCAGAGCTCAGCTGATGTCTGCAGACTTGGCAAGAGCTGGCACCTGGTCTACCAGTGATAGCGCATATATGAACAACAGTAATATAAGCATGAAATGAAACTACATTATGACTTTTAGAAGTCCCTGATACTTTGAGATGCTGCACATAAGAATGTCCTGTGTTGTGATGTTCAAATGTGCTGCTCTACAGTATCTAAGGGTGATATTGCAACAGAGTCTCCATCCAGTACTCATATTGTCTAGTAACCTTTGAGCATGCCTAATCTTTTATATTTTGATTTTGTGAGTTCTACTTCACTGTACTTTCATATCACATAGGGTTCCTGAAGCAGCAGGAGTTTCCAGGTGAATTTCTATGGCCTTTTTACACATGACATCTGACTAGGTGATCCCAGTAGCCTTGCAGAATGTATGCTAAACAGCCCATGAACATTTTACTGATTTGATGTTTGCCATATGTAGAGGTCTGTAACCATTAAATCCAAATTCTGTGAATACCTGAGTTGTACTAATAAACCTGCTCCAGGCAATAGTGGTTCATTCCCTCTAGGTACAAAATGTAATTTTGATTGCCACATATGAAATATTATACTAGTCAATGACAGCTGTGAATGGCTAAGACTTTGAGAAATGTGTTGCTTTTTTAATTCTAACCCTAACCTTTATCTAATTCCACACAAATCTCTTCTGTGCTACATCTTCAGAACAGTAGTCGCTATTCCAATATATTTGATATTACTAGCTGCTGTGGCTATAGAAGCATTTATAGGTTACCACTCTGAAACATCACTTGTATTGTCCCAAGGAAAAAAAGCAATTCAGGTGAAGTTGGCACACATCAAAGAAAATGAAGCTCTGTGGGATTGAAATGTAGGAGCTGAGCACATTCACATCTGACCATATTAGGGTCCAAATGTGACTGTTGACACCGGTTTTCTTTTTGGATAGCCATGCTGGCACAGTCAATAGCGTGTGGAGCCCGGTCAGCTCTCTAATCTAATAGACTGTTCTTGCCCAAACCATTGTGTGTCAGTGTTTTATATGCTGAATGTAGCCAGATTTAATAATCAGTCATATTTGCACCTTTTGCCAGACTTTAAACAATGTAATGTTGAATTCAAAACCTGCTATGGAAACAAACTATATACATTTAAAAAAGGCAAAAAGGAAGGTGAAAAGCACTGAGTCATGGAAGGTAACGAGAGTTCAGAATAATGTCATCTTAGTTTAAAAAAATGATTTGAAATCAATCCCTTTACGTTTTTGTATTTTTATTGCCTGTTAGGACAATATTACATGGGCACGAGCACTGCTTGAAAGTACTTTTGTACTATGTCTGAAATCCTGGAAAGCTTGCCTTCAGAACACCGGTTGCTCTATTTGTTTTCCAGTCACTAAAACAGAAATCTCTGATGTTTTTTACATGTTATTGTTCTTGATTAATACTGTTGCCTTCAGCTAACACCTGTTGAGGTCAGTTACCATGGTTCCAAATTACTAGAATTTGGGATGGTGGTGGGCAGCCGGCAGCCTACTGGGGTTCTGTATGTGGCGTCCAAGACATTTTGTTTACCGTCGCTCATGTTGCCTGATTCCACTGGTTTCCATCAGCTTAGGGTTTTTCCCTTCGGGTGTTACTGAAGTGACACGCACGTAAAGCAAGGGCACATGAAGGGAGGTGCATGCTGATTGTATGCATCATTGGCCTTGAGAGCTGTGCCCTTCTTCCTCATCCTATCAACATGCTGCTACAGTGCAATTGGCACATCCCGCAAATTCTAGGCATGCAAGTGCAGTTAGACCCAGGAAACCCTCTTGGTTATGATAGTCTTGTGGCCCACTGAGATGGAGGGCTGCTCTTGCAGCCCACTCACTAGCTTGGGTTTCCTGTCACTGATTTATGATGGTTAGTGCAGTGGCCTGGTGTTTTGTCGTATATCTGAGTGCTCCCATTACCTGTCTACAGGAATGATGAAGCATGCTCATGTTCTGGCTTGGCAATACAAAGAGTTGTAAACCTCCAGATGAGTGTTAATTGCATGAGAAACTCCCAAGAAATATGAACTCCAAAAGAGAGAAAAAACCCTTAAAAAAACAACAATGGTCCTGTAGCACCTTAGAGACGAACCAAAAATATATATAGATAGTATCATGAGCTTTTGTGGGCACAACCCACTTCTTCAGATGACAAATATGGAGCAAAAGGAATAGGGCTTCAAATAAAAAGCAGAAAAAGAGATTCATACAACTGCACATCCACTAATGTTATCTGTGCCAGCAATGCCCCTCTGCCATGTGTATTGGCCAAACTGGACAGTCTCTGCGTCAAAGGATTAATGAACACAAATCAGATATTTGAAATGGTAACACGCAGAAACCTGTGGGGGAACATTTTAATTTGCCTGGGCACTCGCTAATGGATTTAAAGGTGGCTATTCTCTTACAAAGTAATTTCAGGAATCCACTAGAGGGAGAATCCGCGGAACTGCCCTTCATGTGCAAATCTGACACATGCTCTCCCGGCTTGAACAAAGATGTGAACGGGATGGGCTGTTATAGTCAACACCCAAATGACATCAAAAGTATCAGGCACTTACAGCCCGCTCTATTAGCCTCATTTAGCATGGGCACTTTAATTGACAGTTGCTTTTTATTTGAAGCTCTATGCCTCTTGCTCCATATTTGTCATCTGAAGAAGTGGGTTGTGCCCACAAAAGCTCATGATACTATCTATATATTTTTTTAGTTAGTCTCTACAGTGCTACAGGGCCACTGTTGTTTTTTAAGTGTTTTTACTAACACGGCTCCCCTTTTCAGACCAAAAGAGAGAGGCAGGGGAGGTCTGACAAATACATTACAAAGCAGGGAAGGATAACCGCTTTCTTTGTAAAGATACATGTTAAGTTTTGCTGGCCTTTCAGTTGGTGCTGAGATGGAATATCTCAAATCACATTCTGCGCAGTGAAGGGGGAAGAGGCAACCATAGGGGCTTAGACTGGTAGCATGCGGAGTTTGGATCCGAAAGGTTCCACTCTGATCTCCAGAGTCACGGAGGAACAGTTAGTTACTGGCTCTGCATTATGAGAAGGACTCCACCACCCAGTCCTGTCAGCCTCTCTCATGTTAGTAGTAGTATTTTTGTTCATGGTTTTGTTTGCTTTATTGCTTATGAAGTTTCCTCGGAGGCAACTGACCCTCTGTTTTGGGATGAGTGTCAGTAGGTGTATTGCAAAAGCCCTATTATTCCCCAGAGTTTCCTCCCTTCTTTCTCCAGAGAGAAACCGCTGTCCATAATGCAGTGTCTGCATCTAATTGCCTGACAATTTCACTGTGCTCTTAGCCATTTATTATACATTCTTCCCCCTGCCCCTGGGACACAGATGAAAAAGAGAAGAGGGTGTTTTTTCCAGCCCAGTGATTTAGCATGCATCTTCTTCCCCCCTGCTTCTTTAGGTAATAAAGCCAGATGGCAATGACAAAGAAACAGAAGTGACACATGAATCAGATGTCCCCGAGGAGCTGTTGGGGACTTGCCTTCCTCGAGACTCAGTGAAAGGAGATGCTGATAGTCCGGATGTCATTATAGAGGCTCAGTTTGATGATAATGATGCAGAGAATGGACAAGAGAGCTCCCAGAATGGACTGGCTGATGGCATTAAGAAACTTGCTGTGGATACCAGTGAAAAGGGTGAGTGGGTCAGATTGCTGTCTTAAACATTTATGTCAGCGAACTTGGAAGTATTTTTTTGCTGCCTTGCTTTGCTACAGGATTTAAAGTGCAACATGGAATTATAATATGCACCCTTCCCATCCTTCCCATGCTAAACTACTTGAATAGTCAATAGGTTGAATTGTGAATGGATATTGAAAGCTAGCTTTTATGTAGCCTCAGCTGACTCAGTGTAAATGTGTAGAACAAAACCTCCCCATTCCTCTATAGTTGAGATTCCCAGTGCAAGAGGTGACACTGTGGTTTGCCATATGACACATGGTGTTGCTATCCCCTTTTCCTTCCATCCCAGGCAAGCTTTCAGGGAGAAGAATTAAATTCCTTGCACGGGATTCCTTGGATTTTTCTTGCACTGTAGAGTCAAATGTTGTTTCTAGCTCAGGTCTTCAAAGAAGAAATGGATTGGCTTGTAAAACAAATAAACCAATAACCTGATGCTTTTGAAGAGACATGATCTTAGTCTGAATTGGAATCCTTCCTGTGCCATCAGATGGCACAGGAAGGATTCAGTGGCATAGACAAGGTTCCATCATTCCTACCTGTTTGGGGCCACTGGTTGCATGCCTTTTATTAAGTCCTGTAAGTTTTCCCTCTTTACATATGTTTGAAGGAGGGATTCTTTCTGTTGGCCACTTTTTTCATGTTCCTCCAGCTGCCCAATGGCATGCCTGCAATGGCAGATGCTCTGGCTTCCTTCGTAATACATATTCCAGATGTTGCCATCATCTTTTTGAATAGTATTGGAGACAGGATTGTTGAGCTCTGACAAATTTTGGCATTTGTCATAAATTATTTATTTACTGCTTTCTTGAGGCATTTGCTTTCAAAGGCAATTAGGTGTCTGACCATAGTCTTGATGGATTTCCTGCTTTCACATTCATAAATTAAAATGTGAAATATCTATCGATCGATCAAGTGTTTAAGATTTATGGCTTAGTCTTTAAGCTGTAGATTTTTATTGACCAAATTTTGTTTAAGCCAGTGACGGTAGCTACTGCCTTGCCAATTTGTGACATTATTTCCTTCTGAACATCCCCGTTGGCTTGCATGTCATCGCTACGGTAAGCATTGCCTCACCTCTTGTGTTCCTTTGCCTTCTCAGTGCTTGAATTTGGAGTAGCTTGGGTTGCCATTAGATTTGTTTTTCATAACTATGTACCCCGTGATTTTTGTAATGCTGGACAGACTTTCACTTTTGCTGACATGCTGGTTGACCCATCACTTGGATGAGCTATATCATCAGTAAAATCTAAATCATCTGCTGTTAAGTAATATAATGTCTGAACACATCCTTCTATGTCTTTTCTCACAGATGAGTCAACGTACATCCTTTTCTGACACTAATATCTGTTAAACCATTAGGTCTGTGTTTCCTTTCACTCTGCAAGCTGCACCTTGATAGAAAGTCTTGATCTTGTTAATTCTTGTTGACTTACTGTTACGCTTCAAGATGCTGCAGCATGAATTAAGATGAAAGCTGTGATATGCCTTTTTAAAATCTATGACATGTATGGTAAGTGGATTTTTTCCACTTGGTACTTCTCCTAGTGGTTAGTCTCTTAACCCCTGTCAGGCATTGCTAGAAGACTGACCTTGCAGCAGCTGGCTCCTTGGCATTCGCCATCACTCACAGGTTTTAGGAGCGGTAAAACTAACAAAACTCTCAGGACAGTTTTCATTCTGCTGCATCCTGGAAAAGCTATGAGCAGCTGCAGGTTAACTGGAGTTGTTTGTCTGTAGTCTCAACATGGCGCTCTATTGGTTTACCCTACTGTCATGTTTGGAAGGTTGTTTCTTAGCCCTTATTATGGTTTATTCAGGGGTGGGGAACCTGAAGCTGGATGCAGCCCCCAGCTTGTCTGGATGTGGCCCCCGAGGCTCGGGGCTCTCTGCCCCCCCAGAATTGGGGAACTCATGCTGGTGCTCCAGCTTCCCCACCATCTCCCTGTGGAGCCGGAGCGCACACAATCTGCTAGCTTGGGCCCCCCAGGCATTGGTGTGAGAGGAGAATGTGGGGAGTGTATTTTTCCTTCTCTGTCGGGGGCCACATCAATAAGGGTTTTTTTGTTTTGTTTTTGGTTTTTCGTTTCTCACTTATGTGAGGTCCCCGACTGATTTATCTGTGGGTTAGCAGCTCCCAACCTGAAAAAGATCCCCTACCTCTGATAGGTTTTAAAGCGTTTAGATCTTTCAGAAGTTCATGGCACCCACTTAGCAAAATCTTCCTATTAGTTTTGGATGAATGGACTTTTAGAGTTCAATCAGCTGAATCTTATTTATCCTGCAGTGTTGAGTTGTTTTAAACTTTTGGTTGCATGATTGAGGTCTGCAATAGAAATCAATGTTGAGGTACTCAAGACAGGAAATTTCTTATTCTGTTCTTCCCACATCACTTTTCATGACCCTACCATGACCTAATCAAATAATATACTTTTCATTTAGTAGCAAAATCATTTCTTCATAGGGAAAAAATGACACAAACGCTTTAAGAAAAACAATGTACATATCCTACAAAAGGAAATTAAACAAGCTTGTTCAATATTTAATGAAATGCTGTTATGATGACATTTCCTAAATTACTCTTTAATTGAATGAATCTGGTGTTCATGAGAGATGCAACATTGATTGTTCAGGAGAACAAAGTCCTCTGTTATTGGCAGTAGGACTGTTGAAGTCCTGACTCTTTTCTTGAGTTACCATCATTAGGGGTCGTCAAAGGGTAGTGCAGTCTTGAAGACAATTCAGGGATTTGCTGCTCTGCTAAGACCGCCAGCAGAGGGCTCAGTTGTGGTGGCTTTGTGAGGTGGACTTCTGTAGACTGAAATCTTCTGAGCTCTTCTTTCACAGATCACCGAATGGAATTTTGACTGTACCAGTTTAGATCACCATGGATCTGGGCTGAAACTGCTGTCCCTAAAGGTTCTGTGGTTCTTTTTTCCCAGCACTTGGTCCACAAAGATACCTAGACACACATTTTGACATTGTTGAGTTTAGTCTTTATCAACTGTGAAATGTTCCATGTTGGGGAATGTGAGGTTTCTAGTGAAATGCTCCATAAAACAATCTAAAAGCTAAGTTTCTAAATTTTCCCATCTTGAGCTTTGATTTTTCTCATCTCCCTTTTACTTCCCCATATCCCCAGAGATCCTCGATAAAGGGTTATATAATACCATCTTGTTACACAGCGTGCACAGTTCCCAAAGAGGCTGGGGAGAGTTTCTCTGTGAATAGAGGTCAGAGATTGCCAATCTCTCATAAACGGTTAGTGTACGATCCACTTTAAAACTCCCACTATTTGACAGGTACTCAAGAAAATAATCTGGAGACAGCTGGTTTAGTGAATTGATGCTGCCTATTTCCCCTTCTGTTTCTGGGCGAGCAAAGAGCTGCCTTCAGCTACACCTGCCTGAACCTTCTCAGGCAGGCTTTAGGCAGGAAGATGGCACACAGAGAGGGCAGGTGCACCTCTTTCTCCTCGCCATGGACAGTGGATAAGCAGCCATACTCATTTGGGCTGAGACTTTGAAAGCAGAGTAAGGGGGATAGTCACCACTCCCACTAATTCAAATTGAAATCCCATACTTGTCTTTGAAAATCTAAACCTTTGCTCCCTCTACAATATTTGTGATTGCTGGCCATAAAATGCTGCTGATCCCCTCGGTCTAGGGGTTAAATGGCAGCTTCCTGAAATAATGGATCAAACTTCGAGGGTCATGAGAGAAAA